TCGTTCCTGCTAGCATGTCTCATACTAATAATTGTTTAGATGTAGTAAATTATTTGCACAAAACAACTAATTGCATTTGGAAACTAATTTTTTAAAGAAATTATTCGCATCCGTCACTTATCACGGGTAACCGGCTAATATATATATATATATATATATATATATATATATATATATATATATATATATATATATATATATCCCGAATTTTAGTAAAGGACATACAGAACGCAAAAAAAAAAAAAAAAGTATTTTGACATTCTAAATTTTTAAAGAAAGGAAATGTAACAATATAATAACTTATCCAAAACCATAATCAAACATGCCCTTATGCCTAATATATAATGGATATTTTCTAGGTTAAATGGTGATCGAGTGCACCAGGAGCGGAACACAAACACAATAATTGAGGGGGCCGATATCAAATTTTCAAAACATAATAGTAAGATAAAAACAATTTGTTTAAAATTATGCACTCTAAAAATTAAAACTTATAAAAATATCGTTGTATTGCTGATTAAAGTGGAACTCGTCGATTTTAAGTCTTTTAAAGTTATTTTTAAACTAATCTTTTCGATAAATTGTATTTCAAATAACAAAACCAAAAAAAAAAAAAAAAAAAAAAAAAAAAAAAATCATTGAAACACTCTATCTTAAATTTTATTCTTTAACTTTGTTTAAATTATAAGACTCACACTATAAATAAATAACATATACATATACATATTGATTTAAATAACATATACATAACCCATGCTACATGGATAGATATTTTGTTTTTTGTGTAGCTTTTTATTTCATTTTTACAATACCAAACAATATATCTAATTTATTAGTAAACAATAAATAACTAATAAATAATTTTAATTTATAAATAAGAGTTGTTCTTAGGTCAAAGCCTACTACCTACAACACATTTTACAAAACCTGCAATGTAAGGTCTAAAAATATTTCATATCACACTTTATAGATAATAACTTTGGTGGGAGAATAGAAAGAGAAAAGAGAGTACCCTTCTTAGTCTTCATATGGAGAGAAGAATGGAGAAGGAAACCGAAAGCAGAACACGATGGAAATCAGATGTTTTTAATCTCAGGTTTTTGTTAAACGCCGGCAGAGAGCACTAATCGATGGAAATCGGATGAAGAGCGCTAATCAGCGGGGATTAGTAAAATTTAAGGTTTGGTTATACTCAAAGTTTTGAGTTATGAATTGTATACATATGATTATTTTATATGGTTTTAGTTTCTTAATTTTTTTCCCTAATGAGAGAAGATATCTCTTAAATTTAGCAGTGATTTTCGGATCTCTTTGGGTATATCATGGTTATTTTGTTTACATTTTTTGTTATTTCTTTAATTGAAAAACATGAGCAAAATTAGTAAATTTTTTAACTGTTGGATAACTTTATGAATATATTATACATATTTGGGTATTAGGAAGCTCAAAACCGGGGCGGGAATCGATGGAAATCGGATGAAGAGCGGTAATCGGCGGGGATTAGTAAAATTTAAGGTTTGGTTATACTCAAAGTTTTGAGTTACGAATTGTATACATATGATTATTTTATATGGTTTTAGTTTCTTAATTTTTTTCCCTAATGAGAGAAGATATCTCTTAAATATAGCAGTGATTTTCGGATCTCTTTGGGTATATCATGGTTATTTTGTTTACATTTTTTGTTATTTCTTTAATTGAAAAACATGAGCAAAATTAGTAAATTTTTTAACTGTTGGATAACTTTATGAATATATTATACATATTTGGGTATTAGGAAGCTCAAAACGGGGGGGGGGGGGGGGGGGGGGGGGGATGGCCTCCCCCAGTCCCTTTTACGGTCCGCCACTATAGTGCATAACTCAACTTCTAAGGGGTGGTGGGTACGTCGGATATCAGATAGTCGTAGTCGTACCTTCTCAATGGTGCTCCACTCTATTTACTTTAACGTCTTCAAGCATTAATATTTGCATTAATTATATTAGTTTTTGATTTTGGACAGCGACTTAATGCTAAAATTGTTGTTCTTATTAGCTCAATTTGATTCTTAGATTGATACATAGAATGCTAGAATCCTCCTTAATAAATGAAAGTTTTTTTGACATATGTCAATCTCTCATGAGTTTTGACACTTATCATTTTGTGGTATTTTTGAAATAAATATTATCCACTTGTTAATTTTTGATTTGTTTCAATTTTTAAAATTAAAATCTTATACTTATATATGTAAATTATTAAATACCATATATATGATATTAAGTTTCAATAAATACATTTCTTCTTTTCTTATTTTAAATTTGTACATTAAAAAATATATTTTGTTTACACTTTAATGTTTAATATTTTTTTAAATCAACTCGTGTAATAAATGGGTTTTACACCTAGTATCGAACAACAACAAAGTAAATGGTTTTTGCAAATGTGGAATACTATTGTTCTTATTTTCGTGCATTGAACTTAATTTGTCAAAATTTGGAAAAACCGTTTTTGCTTTTTCTTCTGTAGGAAATTTCAATTTTTACCCGTTACGGCTAACATAATGCTAGACTTTATTTGTCAAAATTTGTAGTTTTTTCATTCAGTGAACTTAATATGATTACATAATAGTGCATTTTTAAAAGGGGAACCAAAAGAAGTTGTCCAAGCACCACAATTGTTCAGGACTTGAGGTCAGTAACCTTTCATACAAGGTTACAACTTACTATAATGGAAAAGGGTTAAATGCAATATATAACAACATACTTTCAGTTATGTGTTAATTATAGCATCATATTTATATATATTCTTATTACTACCAAATTATACCCATATCATCATGTTTGGCTGTCAAACCAACAAATAAATGGATAAAATATAATAATAAAGCTCAAATCACTGCTACTTCATACACTAAAGATAGTACAGAGTAAGCAGGGTCGATCCACAGAGACACGAGACAAATGCTTATACCTTTTTGCGTAAGGTACAATATGATCATAAAAGAGGGGGATTTAAATGAAATGATTCAAATAAGAGCTAATTTAATGAGTAAGCAATTGATTAAGTGAAATAAGTTCAAGATTTGTAAGTACTCCAACTCTATGCAAGACAAATTAGTAATGTGATTCCATGGATGACAAGATATTTGTTTAATTCTATCTAAGTTGGTACTTGAAAGTGTTAACAAGCTCTAACACTTCCCATTCACCACAATAATTAACCAAAACAAGCTTTTTGATTAATCCTAATCTTACTAACCTAATCTAAAGAAGCTCTTAGAATTAGATTGAAAGGTTGCTGTAAACTTAATGTGAATGTTCCCAACAACAATCAATACTCCTCAAAAGCTCGGGAGTGTAAAAGTGTGTGAAAAGATTTACACTAAATTCATTCAATAGAAATCAAATTAGTGCTTGTTACCTAGTCCAATTTACAAAACAATTACGGATTTTGCAATTAGATAACTTGAATGATATAACCCTAATTCAAATGGCCAATAAGAATCACAATTAGAATCAAACATTCGATTGAGACAAAATCAAATTCACTAGATAGAAAATTGAAAGCAAACATCAAGTCATACGATTGAAATCACAACTAAGAAGTCAAGACATGATATTGGAGAAACTAGGGTTCTAGCCAATCATGGCTAGAACAAGATCACAAATCTAGAAAATGAAATTAAAGTTCTTACAAAATGAAATCAAATATTCCCAAGTGTTAATCAACTTCAAAAACCTCAAGAAAATCGCTTTCTCTGCTCCAAAAGTTGACCCCCTCTTAAAAAAATTGGTCTCCCCCTTTAAGAATGGTGAAAAACTACTTTAAAACCCGCATTTACGTTTACACGGCCCGCGTAAATTAACATTGTCGTTTACGCGCCCGCGTAAACGCAAAAATACACTACGCAGAAATCTATGTTTACACAGGTGTGTAAACGCAAGGCTTCCATTTACACGGCCGTGTAAATGTTTGTAAAGCCAAAATCTTTGTTTCTTTGATATCTTGCTCCTCGGCGCTCCGCAAGTCCCGAAATTTTGTCCGCAACGCTTATTTACCTCCCCCGACAATATCCTACCTCAAAAAGTCCCTAAAATATCACAAAAATGTGTGAATGAAATTGCCTCATGAAAAATCCCGAAAAACATGCAAAATGCATGAGTTTGAACCTAAATGCAATGCAATTTTATGGAGAAAAACTACAAAATGGATGCATGAAATGCACCTAACACATCATATCAATTTTCACCGTTTAATTGAGTAGATTTTTCTGAGAACATCTAAATAAATTAAAATAATAGTGACAATGCTATAATTTGATGGATTTTACAAAATAAAATGTCTTAATAAGAAAACGATTTGATAATACTACTTTGTAATAGAGCAATATGAAAGTAAGATGCTATAATAAACAACTAATGAAAGAACTACATTTAGTTGGTTTGAACTTTGAAGGTATGTCCAGATCATGGAGGAGATTTTTAGGTTTTTCTTTTTGCTATTTAGATGAAGTCGAGTTATAATTTTAATTTTAACTATTATTTTTCTGATTTTGGCATAATAATTCTGGTTATATATTACTATTATCAAATGTAAGTACGTTGCTATTATGTTATTATTTATTATTTTGATACTTATCTATAATCGCATTGGGGGATTATGACCAAAAGAGTGAATGTGTCTTGCCAATGTTGGTATCAACTTCAAGTTTTCTGTTTTATGTCCTCAACAAACCAACTAAATGTTGAAACTAATATTTGCTTGCATTTTTGGGCTACATGCAAACAAATATAAATCATTTTACCAATTGACATAACATCTGGTTTTCTAACATTATAATATATAACAAAGTAATATAATTGCTTATCATTTTGTTCAACAAAAATATTACATGAAATAGCAAATTCATAGAGCATTTTTCAGTACCTTTATTCTGCTTTGAACATTAAGAACTTTAGTATTATAATAGAAACTCCATTACAAAAGGATATAGAAGTAGTAGTGCTTGGTTATCAGAGTACATGTCAAAACGTTTCAGAAATTTGACTATCGGGATAGAGATCATTTGAGTTGGAAGATGTTGGTTTATTTGAAATCTCTGTTTGTTCAGAGTCATGAGACTGCATCTCTTCAAACGTCTTTCCAAGTTCTTGAAACCTTAACTCCTCTTCATACATTATTACATCTACATTTGGATCCTTGATTTTTGTATGACCTTCAAGCATAGTCACTACTTCATACATGGTGGGCCTAAGACCCCGGGACTGATTAGTGCATAATAGAGTAATTTTAAGCATCCCCACTGCTTCTTTTTTATTGAATTCAGAACCCAATCTTGGGTCCACCAAGTCTATCAAACTCCCCTTTTTGTTTCAGGAGAACAACCTTTGAAAGGACATACAAATATATCATAAGACACAATCAACGAGTTGGGGATCAAATTGTAGTTTCAGAGAAATGAGGTTTACTTGATCAAGAAGACAAAAACAATCTTCGTTTGGCTGATATTTCATATTGTTCTTTCCAGCAATGATTTCCAGAGCAAGAACCCCAAAACTGTACACATATGCTTTATAGGTTAAGAAGCCCCATAATGCATATTCTGGTGCCATGTACCCTCTGGAGGACCAAAAGCAAATTGAATGAAAGAGTATTGGAAGTGAAAGACACAGAATATTATCATCATCAAAAGGAACAAGAAGAGTATTTCTCACATAGTTCCAACAACTCTTGTGGTAATATGAGTGTTTTCTTCTTCATCAAGCTTTGCCAAACCAAAATCTGAGATTTTTAGAGTGAGGTCAGCATCCAGGAGTATATTTGTCGCCTTGATGTCCCTATGAACCATTTTGAGCACCGATTCATCGTGCAAGAATGTCAAGCCTTTTGCAATGCCAACACAAATCCTTAGTCTTGTAGGCCAATCAATTTCCAACTCAGCCTTCCCTGAGATTTTATAAAAACATTTTTATCAAAGAACATGTGAATGAAGAGCGAATCTATTTGTATAACTAATGATGCTACAATCTCTATTTCGAGATGTCCAATTTAATTTGTAACATTTCTCTTTTTCGCAAATGTTCAAACCATAGATATCTATGCATGTTTCATTGTCATCATTAATTATAGTTTGTTTACATTGTTGGTTTTGGTTATCATCAAACCGTATTTTAGATTATTACAACCATACACACAAGTTAAGAAGTAGAAGATAAGGAGAATACCAAATAGAGCATGTGGTAGAGAATTATTCTCCATGTACTCGTAAACAAGGACTAGGTGGTTTCGTTCCACACAAGACCCATGTAGCCTTACAACATTAGCGTGTTGTATACCAGCCATCATGCCTATTTCATTCACAAATTCACGGTTTCCTTGGTTTGATTTGGAAGAGAGCTGCTTCACATCAATTGGAGTTCCATCTAACAGTGTACCCTAAAATCAATAAAAAAAAAGGGTATGCCTTAGTTTGATTTTACTTTTATTTCCTCTTTTTATCTTTTTAAACAAATTTGTAGATTACACAATGTGAATTGCTAAAAATTAAACTTAACACCTTTACATTGTTACCTTATAGACTGATCCAAAACCGCCCTCTCCAAGTTTATTTGAATGAGCAAACTTATTGGTGGTGGCCTTGATTTGCCTATATGTAAATACACCTGTCTGTAAATCCTATCCTCTTAGCTCTGCATGGAAACAATATTTTACCAATTAAACAGATGTATTTAAAAAAAACACACAATATATATAGTATGGTTTAATTTTTCCCATCGAGCCTTAATAACTTTTTTCTAAGAGGGGGGGGGGGGGGGGATCTGATGGTTGCAAAAGGGACCTGAACTTATGGAACTTTGTGTCATTGATATCATGTAATATGTTGATTTTTATATTTGTTCTTTGAATTTGTATGTGTATTATTTGTGTATGTGTATAACTTTATGCATATATGATATGTATTTGTATGTCTTTTTCTATATGTATTTTTTTTGTGTATGTGTATTTTATGTGCAATGAAAAAAAAGTAGGATACTATAATGTATGTGTATGTGTATTTTTTATGTATGTGTATGACTTTGAGAATTATATATGCAATTTTTGTATTTATATGCTATGAAAAAAACAAAGTAGGATGCTATAATAGAAATGAATTGTATGTATATGTAATAGTTGTATGTATAGAAAATTATGCATGTAGTTTGTGTATTTGTGTTCAATCTGGAAATTATATATGTAGTTTGTGTATTTGTATGCAATGAAAAAAAACACGGTAGCATGTTATAATAGAAAGTGTATTTGTATGTATATGCAATATAATGATATTGATGAAAAAAATAAAGTAGGATGCTATAATGGAAACTATTATTTTTGTATATAATTTGGAAACTACAATTGTATAATGAAAAAAAAAAAACAAACAAAACAAAGTAGGATGCTTTAATAGAAAGTGTATTATTTTTGTATATGAAATATGTGCAACTTTTATTCATATTGTAATTTTGCAGGCTAACTTTTATTCATATTGTGTTTCTATATTTTAATCTTATAATTTTGTAGGCTATATATGGGGTTTAGTTGGGCGATACACTTCTACCTGATGACGGATGTTATGAGACTAGGAAATGGGGGTGATGGAGTTGGGGATCCACCACTTCCAATAGTCTTTGGTCATAGACAACACGAACATGATGGTAAGTCTTATTATGATATATTTATTAGCTATTTTTATTCCTTTATTATAAGCTATTGTGACTAATATTTTTAATTATATTTTTCAGTTGCGCTTCGTAAAAAAATAAAAAATAAATAAATAAAGGTTTATCAAAACACATCCGGCTATCAATTTTGCTACGGGCAAACAAAGGAAAACCCGAAGATTTGGATTTCGAAAGGGAGCTCACATATTTCCCTGTCGGGAAGCATAGTAATCGGTTTAGCCATGAGATTGATAGGTATATGTGGATCAACATCCCTTTGTATGTATCTGGTTGGGATAATGTTTCTCCCACTTTAAGGAATGTCATAGTCGTGCATCTAAAGGTAACTTGGACAATATTTTAAGTTTAGTTGTGATTGATATTTAATTAACTAAATTTTTTGTATTTGTAGAATAAGTTTGATTTAGATAAGGTTAACTTGGATCCCGAGTGTACTAGTTGTTGCGGAGCATTGTGATATCTAAGTATTTTTTTTTAATATATTTTTATGATTTTTAGGGTTTTTTTGTTTTCCATATTACCCTTCCCTATATATATATATATATATATATATATATATATATATATATATATGTTGAGCATAATTACATCAAATAACTTGACATTAAATTCACAAACATTGTCAATTAAAAGTAATACTAAAATGAGGCTTGAAAAACATACAATTTAGTACCAACTTTATCTTAGATCCATTTAGGAAAACTGCCTTTTAGGGAGTTACCAGTCAGATACTTGGTCATTTCAACAAATAACATTGTTAGTATTTAAGTTGGTAGGTTGTTTATCTAATTTTTTTTATGTAAGGAACAATATGAATATGTTATCATTAATCCTCAAATATACTTAAAGAGTAGAAAACTATGATTTAGTAATTAAGAAAAGTAATAATTTTGAAACTTGGTTAAAGCAAACCATACAAGAGTGGTAAAGTAAATGGTTCTTACAGTTTTTCCAGTTCTGTAATCCTACTTAGATATGGTATATCACCATTCAAATTGTTGAAACTGAGATCTCTATAAGAGTATATTAATGTAGATAGAGAGAATACTTCAGAAATTTAAACAAAAACTATAGAAGATCCTAAGACATTCTCCTAATGGATAGGGTTTAAAGTATGTTATGAAATAGAAATGGAAATGGGGGAAATTTTACAGATACTTCAGTGAGACCATATGTGATATATAACCAGGAATTATCCCAGTTATATTACAACTTCTCAACATCCTGCAACATCAACCAAAATTCTTCAAGACACTACTTTAAAATTTAAAGAACTTGTTAGAAGATTCCTAAATCCTACAATAACTTACAAAAATTTCATCTCTTTCATACTACATAGATTTGGAAATTGTGAACCCTCTCCACCTAAATCATAAATCCTTGTGCATGTGGATTACATAATGACATCTAGATTACTACTTACTGTATGAATAAGAAGAAATGAAAATTATGAGGGACTTTAACTTACAGTTCTTTCATATTGCTCAAGATTGAAAGACTTTCAGGTATCGGTCCTTCAAGACCACTTGCTTGGATCTCTCTGAGTACATAAGATAAGAAAATTATTAAGAAGCAAAAAAGAAGGAATATAAGCTCTAATTATGTTGGTGGTCAATATATAGTAATGTAACTAGGAGGAAAATAGTTTGCTTTATCCTATTAATCTAAGGTGGGGTCTAGATTTCTAGAGTTTTGATCTGGTGGTACATACAAATTCATATGAGTGAGTATAAGGAATGCACATCTCCAGGTAAGATAGTTTTGATTTACTAGGAACAAAGATGATGGATAGATAGCAAGATGACTTTGTTGTTTCATGCCATGTGAATTGTGAAAGCTATTCTATTGTAACATCTCGGATATTTAGAAGTAAAGTTGAAGGGCTAAAAGTGTAAATAAGAGGGTCGACTCGGCGAGTCGATGGATAGACTCAGCGAGTTGAGTCACGTTTCAGGTCGCGTGTTAAGTGACCAACTCGGCGAGTCGCATGGGTAGACTCGGCGAGTTGGTGTTGTATGGAGAAAACCCTAATCCCGGGGGTTGAGCCTTATATAAAGAACATAATACCCTCTCCCAAGCCTTTTTATCCTCCCTTTGAGTTCCAGAAGCCCTAGATTCGTGTGAGCTTTCCTTTGTGAGTAATTAGAGCCTTGGAGGAGGAAATCTTGGAGAGGAATTGAAGAGCAAGAAGATTTGGAGCAAGGGGCTTTGCAGAGATTTGGTTCATTCTCCAGTAGGAGCTTGCATTGGAGGTAAGAGATCTGTTCTTGAGCTTTTGTGCATCTAGATTTATCAATTGTGGGGTTTTTGGAGCATAAATGAGGTTCATCTCGAGTTTGGTGTAAGATCTGAGGTTGCTACCTCAGATATAGGATTGTAATGGTCCAGGAAGCCATAAAGTTCATGCCCAAGAGTTGTTAGTGAAGCCTTCTTGTCCCAAACCCTAGCCCAAGAGTGTTTTATGCTTAGATCCCTTTGGATTCACGTAAAGTTTGCAACTTTACGTGAGGAATAGCTTGTGGAAGGGTAGATCTATGGATTGGAGCCCCTGCATGGCTTGGAAAGCCACTGTATGGATTAAGATCTAGAGGTACTCAGCGAGTCACATGGGTGTACTCGGCGAGTTGGATGAAGATAGGCAGGGACTTGACAAGTTGGAAGAACAACTCGATGAGTCTCTTGAAGGTGGCCTTGGACTTGGCGAGTCTGTTCTTGGACTCAGCGAGTATGGTCGTGAAGTCCTAACTGTTTTGGTTGAGCTGTGAATCGGTGAGTCGAGGGACGACTCAGTGAGTTGAACAGGAAGTGACTCAGAGTTCGTGGGACTCGGTGAGTCTTGGGGCGACTCGGCGAGTTGGGTCGCGATATGGGAGTTTTTCAGAGCATAGGGACTCGACGAGTTAGCGGGCTAACTCGTCGAGTAGAGTCAGTCAGAAAGTTTGACCTTGACTGAGGACTTTGACTTGGACCAAGAGTTGACCAGTTGACTTCCAAGGGTGTTTTGGTAATTATTGGTATTTATTGGGTTCAGTCTTTTGGTATTATCAGCGGTGGAGTTCGTATCGGAGGTTGGAGCAGTGTGATCTTATCTTTCCAGTCAGCAGTTGCAAGGTGAGTTATCCTCACTATATCAACAGGGTCTAAGGCACCAAGGCCGGCCCTTATTCAGATTGTAATTCGGGTAGTAGTCGTGATATGTTATTGCTTTGTTATGTTGATATCCTGGTATGTACGATGGTATATGTTAGTGACCGGTTAGGTCGGTATCCTGGTTAGGATGTTGCTATGCTATGTGATATGTTAGATCGGTTGATTAGTTGCGAATGGTTATATGTTATATGTTATATGTTGATGTGCATATGGTTGTTGGACTGGGTTGGGTTGAGGCGGGTCTTGCTTTGTGCTGTAGGCCAACATACCTAGGGCGGACCAGTTATCCTGAAGGCCCAGCGAGCGGTTCGGATAGGCTGTAGGCCCCACGAGGGGGGACCAGACGTGCCGAGGCTCGGAGAGTGGACCTGGGCGACTGAAGGCCCGATGCGGGCAGAACAGTTATACTGTAGACTCAGAGAGTGGACCAGGTAGGTTGAAGGCCCGGTGCGGGCGGACCAACCACACTGCAGACTCGAGGGATATGGCTAGACTTGGAGGGTGGACCAGGTGGACTGAAGGCCCGATGCGGCGGACCAATCACACAGTAGACCCGAATTGCATGGTTGTTCTATGTTCTGTTATGATATGGCTTGTTATGTGTATGGTATATGTGGTTGGTATTTTGGGGGTATCTCACTAAGCTTCCGGGCTTACAGTTGTGGTTTAAATGTTTCAGGTATTTTAGGAGACCGTGGCAAGGCAAAGGCATGATCGTACCGCTCCTCGTGTTTACGTTTAATGTTATGGTTATGGGAATACTTTGATAATAAATGTATTGAAAACCATTTTATAATAACTTAATGAATTTGGGTTGTTTTTGAAACGTTTAAATTGGTTTGAATTTTTAGAAGTTATAAGTTGGTATCAGAGCCTTGGTTTGAGTGAATTGGAGGAACATTCGTGTGAATCCAATCTCAAATCAAGGAGAGTTTTCAAAATGAGAATTTAAAATGGTTTTCAAATGAGTAAAGGGGGATGCGGGGGTACGATCATCCGGAGCCAGTAAGTAGCCCCAAAATACCATGCAAGTTATTTGTTTACGTGATATGATAGAACAACATTCTAGTACTAGGCTAGGGATCTTCGGGAATTGCATGATAGAGTTGCCTGATTTATCATGCCTGCTAGCCTAGGGTTTCTTTCTGTATGAGATTTCCAGTGATTCCTCTAGGAGTGAGGGTTGAGTGTTTGTTATGTCTGTTCTTTCTAGGGTGTTGTGGTGATACTTGAGATAAATATGGGTAGGTGTGGAAGGTAGTATGGGCCCGTACTACTGAAAGCACAGGACCCATACGCGTATCAAGGAAGTCACAACCCCTAGGGTTAGGTTAAGAGTCAGTTCTCGGGTTAGAGAAAGTCTTCTGATGTTTGCGGTGTTTTTCAGTATGGTGGTTACGAGGCATGCTGGGAGTGGATCTGGGTTACGATCGGGAGCAGGAGAGGGCGATCAGAGTGGGTCAGCACCACCCGAGGTTATCAGTCAGATGGGCACAGATGAGTTGGATGCTAGGATTCGTGAGATCCTGCATGATGAGGTTGTTGCTATGTTCCGGGCTGAGTTGCCGGAACTGTTTGGGTCGATCAAGGTCGTCATGGTCGAGTATTTTGATGAGCGCTATGCATCTCTTACAAAGATGGCTATCGCGGCAGCTACAGCAGCTGTAGCAGCGGCATGGGGACGAGCCGGGAGAGGTTTTCAGTATCGGGACTTCGATAATACGAAGCCCCCTACCTTCGATGGAGTTCAGGACCAGATTGTCGCTATGAGATGGTTGTCAGACATGGAGGGGTGTTTATTCACATGTTCATGCCCTGCTGATCAGAGAGTGAGGTGTGCTCTAAACCTGTTGAGGCTCGGGGCGAAGGATTGGTGGAGATTGACCACGGGGTCATATTCAGATGCGCAGCGGGCTGCGGTTTCGTGGGATCAATTCCGAGAAATGTTCAGTACCTATTATGTTCCACAAGTTGAGAGGGAGAGGTTGGCTCAGGAGTTCCTGGAGCTGAAGCAAGATACAGAGTCAGTGACAGAGATCACCAGGATGTTTACTGAGAGGGCGTTGTTTTGCCTAGAGTTTGCTTCCAAGCAGGCTCAAATGTCCCGATATCTGAGTATGCTCAAAAGGGATATCAGGCCGTTTGTGTCTACGCAGAGGTGCGAGACTTTGTTGGAGTTGCAGGAGGCCGCTCGGCGGTGTGAGTTGGAGATTGAGATATAGTTGAGGGAGCAGAGGCAGGCCCCGGCATAGTCGCAGCCAGCACCGAAACGATCCAAGACCGTTGATACTAGATCGGGAGATCTTAGCAGCCGCACTTGTGGAAAGTGCAGGAAGGGTCACACTGGAGTTTGTAGGTCTGGTGGTGTGTGCCGCAAGTGCGAGAGAGAGGGGCATTACGCAAGGGATTGCCGTCAGACAGCCCCAGTCTAGGATATAAGGATTTGCTATCAGTGTCATCAAGTTGGTCACATGTAGGCCAATTGTCCACAGCTTGCTGCAGGACCGGTGCAGGCTCCAGCATCGGCTACTTTGAGGATTTCAGGTGGAGGTCAGGGTGGAGTAGAGCCCCCGAGGGCTGAGGGGCGTGCTTTTCAACTTATAGCAGAGGAGGTCAAGGCAGAGCCGGATTCAGCTGCGGGTATGCTTCCTTTTTGATATCTTGTTATCTTATGATTGTTGTGGAATATTGCATATGCTAGTCATGTTTGCATGATTTATTGTGTTGTATTGTTCGCCTTTTTGTCTGGGTTATCTTTGGTAGAGGGTTTTATAGCTAGGAGTTGTAGCTGGTTAGTATCCAAGGGATGGATGGTCAGGATTGGTTGTGTGGTCTTGTTGTTGGGTATAGCATTCGTGATGTGAGAAGTGTTCAGCTAGGAGTCGAACTCCCTTGGGATTTGAGATGTGCAATGTTGGAAGAGCAGTTTTATGAAAATTACTCGTTTAGAGGAAAGCAGTTTATGGATGAGAAAGGCATGGGATATAGATGATTGTTCTAGACCTGATGAGTCACCAGTATTTGGAGGTCAGTGTTCTAAGTGGGGGAGAGTTAGAAAATTCTCAGGAGGATCGACAAGTATCTGAGTATGATTAGTTGTTTGGAAGTCGGCGGTGTTTTAGTCAGCCAAGAGTGTGGGCTGGAATGAGTAAGTGGCAGACTAGTGGGGGCAGGAAGCAGACCATGGAGTCAGGGTAGATAGTGTTTGATGTTATGCCTGGGTTAGGCCATGAAAAGGATTCTGAGATCGGAATGGAGTTAGAGTTCGGAACCCCTAGAGGGCTAGAATAGTATGTTCGGGAGAGAGTCCCAGGAAGGATAGTTTGGGATGAGATACGATAGTCTGAGCGGTCCGGGGAGACTAAAGGTCTGTGGGCGTACCACTCAGGCCGAAGGCTCGGAGAACGGTCCAGACAGGCTGAAGGCCCTGGAGGGCGGTCCAGACATGTTGAAGGTTCTGAGAGTGGTCCAGATTGGCTGAAGGCCTGGTAAGGCGGTCCAGTCATGCTGAAGACTCAGTAGGTGTTGATAGATCGATATGAGGAGATGAATTGAGTATGCTGCAGTGCAATGGCAACCAGTAGGTCTGGCCCCGGGTATTGATCATGCTAGTGGGAGGCGGTGCATGGACTCGAGAGTCCATGCGAGTAGATTCAGAGCATGTGCGA